GGAATGAGCTCGGCTCGGGCACATGTAGTACAGACTCTCGCTGTGCTGTGTAAATAATTAGTTTTTATTTGTAACAGTTGTGTGGATGGTGCTACGGTTTGGAGATTGTCGGCGGGGTTCGAGACTACATTCATCAGTACGCCAAAAGTCTGTTGCACTTGACGCCGCGGTAGCTGCGGAACAATGAAGCTTACGTGGGACTCGTGCATCATCGCATCCACAACTCTTTCTTCTCCTACTCGTCATTCGACTTGTCACACACGTTGCAGCGTTTGCACAACACCAGCCCCGATTTTGTTCACTTGCCATTGCATATACGGGCTGGTACCAGCGGTTCGTCTGGAACCGACATTTGCTCCAGGTTTGTTCCATTTCTTTTTTTAATGTCCGGAAATGTTGAATGAGTTTCAGTGAAGAATAATGGTTGACGTTCCCAGCCTATTGTACGATTATGAATAGAACAATTCGTGAGGAGGTTGCACCAAGTTTGCTGATTAAAGTGCTGGGGCCACTGGAAAGTTAAGTGAAGATTGTGACGCAGGAAAGTGAATTGTATGGCAGTACTGTAATCGCGGGTATCCGAAGTTTCAAAAGTACAGTAATTCATAGATATATATCTTTGGAAACGTATTCGTACTCTTCGTGTTAGAGCATCTGATTCTACTTTCTGAAATTCAGAAAGGGTTCCGCCCGAGTTTCCCACGTCATCTCTAAAGATGTCCTTGAGAACTTGGCTTGAAACGCGTGATTAATTTAGACGTCGCCTCTGTAATGGTCAAAAATAATTTGATCGTCACGTTGTGCTTTGAAGTGGAATTTGTTTAAATTACTATAGATTTCATCATCTGTTAAGAATAATTTAATGCAATATCTAGGAGAATCGCTCGTAATTTGACGAAGTTGCTTTTCCACGCTAATTGTGCTTGAGAAGTTTTTCATAATTGTGTGCTGAATTTCTGGAACATGTAGGAGTTGGCGGCACAACGGGAGTATAGTACTATACACATTGTAGTTTATTATCTGATGCTGATACCGTTCACATATTCACGGCTTTGTGGTAATTGATAGTGAACCATCGTTTGGAGAAGACCGGCGCAGATGGAAGATATTACGTTGGGTCGTTATTTCACGACGACATTGAGACATTCAGCAGATCTGGCACGCTTATGACCGTATCGTTTATCTATTATTGGCCTCGCTTGAAGTCGACGGTTCTGCAGCCAACTATGTATTGGAGACTGAGCAGATTGAGGTGAGGATTTTTCCTGAAGGTTTTTCAGGCGTTTCTTCGAATTGATTTTATTCGTGTCTCGAGTAATCTTTTGAGTTCGAAAGTTTGAGTTATCTTACTTTGTACTTTTACTCGATTTTCTTAATTTACATAATTTATACATCGAAGGAGGCGAAGGGTTCAAAATAATTTTGTGAAAATTCGTGGATCAATTCCATTGTTTTGGACTCCGTATCCAAATTCATGTATGGTTTATACAAGCCTTGACTAATTTCAGCTGTTTTGAGTCCAAACTGCGAATCATGCTGTTCAGTCTCACACAGATCACCTGCAAACGAAATTTAGCTACTACGAAAGTAAAGTTTGTGTGCGTTGAAAATAATTTATTTCGTATGCTTTTAGATTCTCATGAATCAGAAAAAGGTATTCGTTGCGACGTTGCCTGTCTTTTAATTTACGGCAAAAAATAAACAATGCTCGTTGTGGTACTTCCTGCCGGATGAATCATAAGGGTTGACGCCTGGCTAAAACGAGTATTCAAAGCGCAAATTTGTTACTTATCTGAATGTGAAGAGGTCGCTCATAAGTTAAGCTAAAAGAATTGATAATCCATCAGGAAAACGGCAATTATACCGGGAACCCCGGATAACGTGCCCCCCTATAACATGCCCGCGTGTCCGCCTGTTCACTGCGTCCGCCTCCCAGTCTTTCCTTGGGTGACTCTTTTGCTTGCATTAAAATATA